GGGGGGGGGGGAGAGGGGGGCTGTGAGTGTGAGCAGATTCCTGGGTGGAACGGAGACGACCTGACAACTCTCGAATATTTAAAATAAGAAGAGGTTTTTTTTTTTTCTTTAATTTTTTAATATTGACAAATGCGGTTATTGTAATGTCAAGTGAAATGACTTTTGGAGGCTGAAGAGTGGTTAAAAGACTAAACAAATAAATAAAATAATTGAGGAAATTGTGAAAAGGATTTGCAGAAAATTTCCCAGCAATTATAGGCTCATCATTTCTTACATTGATGAATGGGGTACAACTCCCGAATAAAGTCACACCAAAAGAAATTATGGGATTTGACAACTCATAGTTTTTATTTTTTTCGACGAAGCGCGGGCTGAGAGAGATGGAGCCTTCAGATAAAAGATTAACGATAGGTTTCAAGAAGGGGGGGGGGGGGTTAAATAAAGGTAAAGGGTATTATATTGGAGCCAGGCTCAAAACTTTAACAAGACTAAACATTGAAACGAAAATTACCTATCAAACTTATCAATACGCTTACACAGACCATGTGGGATTATTGTTTATTTAGTTATTGGAGTTGGGACGTGGGTGGGGGGTGTGGGTGGGGGTCGTGGGTGGGGGGCGGGGGTCATCTTCGAAAATATTTTTTTATTGTCTTGAGAAAAAAAAATGGGAAAGGGGAGAGAATCTGTGATCTAGTTGTATCTTTTCCTCGGGTCACTCAGTTGACTGTAGTCTCTTTTACTTTAAAAAAATGGAGTCAGAGGGAGACTAGGGCATGGGGAGACTAGGATAGAGGGAGACTAGGGTAGGGGAGACTAGGGCAGTGAGAGACTAGGGCGGAGGGAGACTAGGGCAGGGGGAGACTAGGGCAGGGTGGGGAGACTAGGACAGGGGGAGACCAGGACAGGATGGAGACCAGTGCAGGGGAGACTAGGGCAGGGTGGGGAGACTAGGGCAGAGTCTGGTAAATTCTTAAGATGCTCACGTTAAAGGATTTGGTGACGAGAGTATACAGCAGGCCAACTAAATATTGCGGCAGGGAATACAGCAAAAGTACAACACCTGATCTAATATTGTATCCCGCCCATGACCAACTACGTATAGGCGTTGCGAGACCGTGGGGGTTGAACTCTGCGATTAAAACGGTCTAAACCGTTGAATTGAGGAGTGATAGATTTGAAATGTTTGGCCACATTTAGTAGTCCGATGAATGTTAAAAGTTTCTGTTCGTTATTTGGAATATCCGGTAAAGTTGTGGCTTAGCTGCCCTGACAGCTGTGAACATTGACAAATTAGCTACCCTAATAGCTGTGAACATTGACAAATTAGCTGCCCTAACAGCTGTGAACATTGACAAATTAGCTGCTCTAACAGCTGTGAACATTGACAAATTAGCTGCCCTAACAGCTGTGAACATTGACAAATTAGCTGCCCTAACAGCTGTGAACATTGACAAATTAGCTGCCCTAACAGCTGTGAACATTGACAAATTAGCTGCCCTAACAGCTGTGAACATTGACAAATTAGCTGCCCTAACAGCTGTGAACATTGACAAAATGATTTTCAGTCTTTTTGGTGCAAATTAAAGTTGAACAGGGATAAAGGAGCAGGTGCTTCATTCTATATTGTCTTGTTTCTGAGGCGGATTCCATTTGGTATCTCAGATCGTATGGCACGAATTCTAATACCGTGAAATGTTAATAAATTATAAGTACAAAATACAGGCTTTGGTGTTATTATTAAAAAAAAACAACTGAAAAATGAAATACATTATTGCATTTAATAAAAACACAAAATTATAAACACATTTTAACACAGAATAAATTAAGTACCGACGTGTCATTGTCTCTTCTTAGAGTATCAAATGTAAACAAAAGTTTAAACCATTGCGCTCATAAAATAATAAAATAAGCCATACACTTGATCAACTGCCATATTAAACCTACATAATGAGTAGACGTAGGCCTATATTTTATGATATTTTTTTTATTAAGTCAGATACTGTAGTGCTTTTATGCTGCATAAATTATGAAGAATAAGATCAAAAGAATTACTTATATATAAATAGTTAGCCTTAGTTATAGCCAGATAACTGCATAATTTAATCCTTTAATCAGGCCCTTGGGGAAAAATGGACTAACATCGTCCTTAGAATGTGTGTATTGCATGTTGAAGATTATTTGTTGCAAGTGGCGTCTCTTACGCTGTCTATAGGTCTAGGTCTACTATCTTGCAATCAAATCGTTGTAATTCGGCCACATGATCATCGGGACCTATTCCAACCACGGGCTTAGTGATACGCGAGCCGCACTCCATCATGATAGACGCTAGGTCACTTAAGTCCAAACAGTAATCCTAACACGAAGACTATTTGTTAAGTCAGGCCCGCACAACTCAAAATGTAAGACGGGCCGTAATACTTTATGAAAAGCTTGGGCGGGCCGAAAGATGATAGAACCGGGGGGGGGGGGGGGGGGGGGGGGGGGGATTTTAAAAAAAAAAAAAAAAAATAAAAATATTTCGTAACGTCGCGGGCCGCCCAGTGGGTGATGACGGGCCGTATGTTGTGCAGGCATGGGTTAAGCTAAGACCTGTGAATATGAAGAGTCTGTACTGTTAGTAGCTTCTCAAATAATTGTAAATTGTTTTAAAATTTCGCACTAATCTTAATCACTTTAGGTCTGAAACAGCATGCAATATGCAAGCACTTACTGCTCTAGAATACTCTTCTGGCTTAGAATTTTAATAATATGGCACAATAAACTTAGTTTTGACGTCATATCAATTTATCAGCTATGGGGTTTACAACAAAACACCTCAAGAAGTTGTCATCAAACGCTACATTCTATAAAACGGAATTCTAAACAATGGCCGCTGTGTTGTGACGTCACGGAAATGTACACACCCTGCGCTTCTACCTTCTGTGTCGTAGGTCACGGTCATTACACACTCATTACAATTGTTTATTTCTTTAAACCTTAAATATCAAACCTATACACATTTTTTTTCATAGTTGTTTCTTCTCACCCTTTCAGAGCACCAGACGTATGGTGAAGTCAATCAGCTTGGGGGTGTGTTCGTCAACGGCAGGCCGCTCCCCAACGCCATAAGGCTGCGCATCGTGGAGCTGGCGCAGCTGGGCGTGCGCCCGTGTGACATCAGCCGCCAGCTCCGGGTGTCGCACGGGTGTGTCTCCAAAATCCTGGCCCGGTACAACGAAACGGGCTCCATCTTGCCTGGCGCCATAGGCGGGTCCAAACCTCGCGTGACCACGCCCAACGTCGTCAAACACATCAAGGTCTACAAGGAGAGGGATCCTGGGATCTTCGCCTGGGAGATACGGGACAAACTGTTGGCCGACGGCGTCTGTGACAAATACAACGTGCCGTCGGTCAGTTCGATCAGCAGGATTCTGCGCAACAAGATCGGCCCGGGGTCCAACAACGGCGGGTCTGGGGGCGGAGCCAGCCCCGTACAAGGATCCCAGTACGAAAAATCGTCCCCGCCCCCTGGTCACCACCCTCACCACCACCCGGTGGCGGCACACCCACACCACGGTCAGAACCACCACAGTTCGCTCTACAACGCCCAGTTTTACCCATACTCATGCGCGCCGACGCCCTCGATGCCCCCAGCCATGGGGCACCCCCAGATCATGTCGCACAATCCCCACCAGCCCCCGGGGGTCCCCCCGGGCATGGGGTTCCAGATGCCGTCGGCCATGTCGTCTCACCACAAGCCGCCGTCGGGGGGCTGCGGGTCGCCGTGCATGATGAGGGCGTGGCCGTCGTCTCATTCCGTCCACGACATCCTGGGGTTCCACAGACCACCCCACGCCATGGGCGGGCAGCACATGCCCATGGCGCACGACGGCATGATGCCCAATGCCATATCACAGCCTTACAACATGGGAAACTATTACATGAAGGCACAGATGTCACCAATGTACTTACAGAGCTGATGATTAGTGCGGTCTTTTTTGTGGTTTAAACTTTCTCCCAGGCATGGACAATTTTCTTCTAAACTCTAATGGATCAGAAGCCACCAGGTCAACGATCATGAACCAGCAAACGATGGAGCAGACGTGTTTGTGAATAGTCAAACCTTGTTCAGCCTCGACTTCATTCAATAAATATGTTGGGTAATCTCCCCACCGGAAACAGCTTTTACCCCCCATTGTAATTTCATAATGTTCCAATGATACTATTTAGTATCAGAAGCAACGATGAAATGGTTGAGTACTAGCCACATCAAAAAGTGACTTCACCCAAAATTCAGTACATCATTGCTTTTCACCAAAATGACTTTTTTTTTTCTTTTCTTTTATAATGGAAACAAATATAAGAGGGTGGGGGGGGGGGTGAAAGNAGATTTAATTTAAGCCAATCTATTGTATGGTTTCATTGTCACTGAACAGTTGCCGGTGTTTGATCCAAGTGAAAAAAATGTCATTGAAAAACACGCACTTTTTAAAAAAAAAAATTGTTGACTACATATTAAATAATGTTTAGAAATGTTCCAAATAAATAATGATATTTGGCATTGCTTTAAGAGTTTAATGGAGCAATTATGATGATAATCGTCTTTTAAAAAAGCAGTGATTATTTCAGAAATTTTCTCCCGGGGGTCACTTCAGATTTTTCGGGAGGGGGGGGGCAGTGCCAACAGTGCCAGTTGATTTATTGTTGGGTATACTTTTGCTCCAGGGGGGCACTTGGGTTTCCCAATGCCTTCACCTGTCCATCCAAAAAAAATAAATAAATCATTTAATTAAATTTACATAATATAAATATTTATATGTTTCCTGCCATCACTTTATTTTCAAGTTCCCGTGAACACAATGTGTTTAAAAAAAAATCAATTAACTTGGCGTTAAAAGAAAGAGAGTTAAGAACTTCCCCGATGTTTGTATAAACCAGGTGTTCACAAACATTTTAAATTGTTCACTACTTAGACAATCTTGATTAGATACAAATGATGCACAACCATTTGGTTGTTATGGTTATGCAATTCAAACCGGGCATCTACATTTATTATTAACGTGACGCCACTGTGTACCACATGGACCAATGTTATCTACCACCAGTGGTTCAGTCGCCATCGCCACAGATTGAGACTCGATGTAGAGAATGAAATCATTGATCATAGCCAAATTTACGTATTTGTTTTGATTACCTCTGTTTCCAATGTTGAAATCAGTTGGTGTAAGATGGGATACAACTTCTGCAGATGGGATACAACTTCTGCCTCCGACGCTTTGCTAATGAATCAATACAGAAAAATTCTTCTACGTTGAAGACACTAAAGGTTACATTTCATCAAAATATCGTCAGCAAAACATGTATGAACGCTACATACAGAAGAGTGAGATCTGCGCATGGAATTCACAAGGAGTCATGTTTTATTTATTTGTACAACGTGTTTGTCCATTGTTTGTTCTGCTGAGTCGTACCATAATCTGTTTTACACGTTCAATTGATGTATGTATAATGTTTTAATATTATTATATCATGTTGATTTTTTTTTTTAAAACCAATCGGTAACATTGGCATTTGAAATAAACAATGGCGTAAGCCTATATCATGTATCTACAAGTCGCTTTGTTTTCTCTCTCGGTTGTATTACATCTAATGATATTATTTATTGTGGAATTTTTATTATTTATTTTACCGAATATTTCTGTTTTCTAGGTTTCCCCAACATTATAATACCATTTTTTTGGGTCTTTTTTGCCGCATTAAGATGCGTAGCCCCACATTTCAATAAAAATAACTTACAGTGTCCGTTAAAAAAATAAAAATAAAATTTGGGGAGTGGGGGGTGGGAGGGGGGAATAATTATTCTTTATGTAACGCTGCATTGTTGAAGTCAAGTGAGACGTACGTTTTGACGTCACTCTTATTCTCTTTGCTACGCATTCCAATGTTCAGTAAGCAAATTTACTGACATCATAATGTTGTCAACCCTACCATCCAACTAAAATGGATGTATGTTTTTTTTAAAAATAAAAATGATTGCCTACCTAATGTGTGTTATAAGTATTTCGACTCAAGAGCATACACATTGGTAGGCGGCATGGCATTGTAAAAATAGTACCCACCTGTTGGCTGGAGGGCATTGTACAAAAAGTACACACTTGTTGAAATAATGTCATTGTAGAAATAGTACACACTTGTTGAAATAATGTCACCGTACAAATTGTACTTCCCGGCACGTCTACGACGCCTGTTGTTGTATCGTCCGACTGATGTGTCATTGGGCTTCAGAGTTGCATGTAAAGGAGGGAGGGGTCTGCTGTCTGGGAAAGAGCTTATTCTCCATAAAAACACCAGCGAAAACCACAAAATTGTCCCATTGAGACTAAAATACATTTTTTAAGGCTAGTTGGCAGAAAAATGAACTAAGAACTTTAATTTAATTTCTAATTTATCGCTTGTTTAGCATCACCATTTGCATTTCCGGTCGAAACTAAGTTAATTATTGTTGTTTGCTGTGACAAAGTGAGACATTGTGCCGCACTGGGAAGCCTTTGAATTGGCCGCCCCCCAACCCCTCGAAAAGGCTGGAAATTACGAACTCTGATAGAGCCCCTTCCTTGTCACATGCACCAAATCGCCCCTGTAGCGGAAACGAGGAGGGGATGAAGGATATCAAGTGCCCGGAGACTCTCAAGCCGAAGCGGAGGCAGGGGGGCTGGGTTTCCAGTCTTGTTGGTGCACATTTTTTGTGAACTGCAAATTCAAGGATTCATTATTGCGCATACCCGAATTTGCTACTGAGCTACCCTACCCAGAGAGAGAGAGCTACCCTACACAGAGAGAGAGAGCTACCCTACCCTACCCTACCCTACACAGAGAGAGAGAGCTACCCTACACAGAGAGAGAGAGCTACCCTACACACAGAGAGAGATAATTTTAGCTGTTAAAACTATTAAACTAATTCGTTTGTTTCAATTTCCCTATTAATAAATATTATTTTAAAAGCTGCTGGTGCATTTACCGTCACAAAAGAAGGAATGAATAAATTTGTTGACCTTCTGTTGCCCGGGGTTGTCTATAGGCCTTCTGTTGCCCGGGGTTGTCTATAGGCCTTCTGTTGCCCGGGGTTGTTTATAGGCCTTCTGTTGCCCGGGGTTGTCTATAGGCCTTCTGTTGCCTGGGGTTGTCTATAGGCCTTCTGTTGCCCGGGGTTGTCTATAGGCCTTCTGTTGCCCGGGGTTGTCTATAGGCCTTCTGTTGCCCGGGGCTGTTTATAGGCCTTCTGTTGCCCGGGGNTTGTCTATAGGCCTTCTGTTGCCCGAGGTTGTCTATAGGCCTTCTGTTGCCCGAGGTTGTCTATAGGCCTTCTGTTGCCCGAGGTTGTCTATAGGCCTTCTGTTGCCCGAGGTTGTCTATAGGCCTTCTGTTGCCCGAGGTTGTCTATAGGCCTTCTGTTGCCCGAGGTTGTCTATAGGCCTTCTGTTGCCCGAGGTTGTCTATAGGCCTTCTGTTGCCCGAGGTTGTCTATAGGCCTTCTGTTGCCCGAGGTTGTCTATAGGCCTTCTGTTGCCCGAGGTTGTCTATAGGCCTTCTGTTGCCCGAGGTTGTCTATAGGCCTTCTGTTGCCCGAGGTTGTCTATAGGCCTTCTGTTGCCCGAGGTTGTCTATAGGCCTTCTGTTGCCCGAGGTTGTCTATAGGCCTTCTGTTGCCCGAGGTTGTCTATAGGCCTTCTGTTGCCCGAGGTTGTCTATAGGCCTTCTGTTGCCCGAGGTTGTCTATAGGCCTTCTGTTGCCCGAGGTTGTCTATAGGCCTTCTGTTGCCCGAGGTTGTCTATAGGCCTTCTGTTGCCCGAGGTTGTCTATAGGCCTTCTGTTGCCCGAGGTTGTCTATAGGCCTTCTGTTGCCCGAGGTTGTCTATAGGCCTTCTGTTGCCCGAGGTTGTCTATAGGCCTTCTGTTGCCCGAGGTTGTCTATAGGCCTTCTGTTGCCCGAGGTTGTCTATAGGCCTTCTGTTGCCCGAGGTTGTCTATAGGCCTTCTGTTGCCCGAGGTTGTCTATAGGCCTTCTGTTGCCCGAGGTTGTCTATAGGCCTTCTGTTGCCCGAGGTTGTCTATAGGCCTTCTGTTGCCCGAGGTTGTCTATAGGCCTTCTGTTGCCCGAGGTTGTCTATAGGCCTTCTGTTGCCCGAGGTTGTCTATAGGCCTTCTGTTGCCCGAGGTTGTCTATAGGCCTTCTGTTGCCCGAGGTTGTCTATAGGCCTTCTGTTGCCCGAGGTTGTCTATAGGCCTTCTGTTGCCCGAGGTTGTCTATAGGCCTTCTGTTGCCCGAGGTTGTCTATAGGCCTTCTGTTGCCCGAGGTTGTCTATAGGCCTTCTGTTGCCCGAGGTTGTCTATAGGCCTTCTGTTGCCCGAGGTTGTCTATAGGCCTTCTGTTGCCCGAGGTTGTCTATAGGCCTTCTGTTGCCCGAGGTTGTCTATAGGCCTTCTGTTGCCCGAGGTTGTCTATAGGCCTTCTGTTGCCCGAGGTTGTCTATAGGCCTTCTGTTGTCCGAGGTTGTCTATAGGCCTTCTGTTGCCCGAGGTTGTCTATAGGCCTTCTGTTGCCCGAGGTTGTCTATAGGCCTTCTGTTGCCCGAGGTTGTCGAGTGATTTGTGGCGCTGAGTTATGTTAGAATCAGGGCTGTATAGCCAAAGAGGCTATTTGTCAATTCTTCCCTTTTAAAATCGAAAATGAAATCATTGCTAGTACTGAAGGGTTGTTCGGCGCCATGACGTTTTATTTCGTCTTCTTTATCATTTTCATCGTTCCAAATATTCGATCCTTTTAGCCCACGGTCATCAAGGGGCCCAGCCCCGGGTGTACTACAATCACTATCTTTGGGCAATAAATAAACTGCTGTGTGTCCCTACGTTGACTGTAGACAGTGCCTAAAACACCTTAATCCGACTAAGTATCATAACAAGGAAAAATTAGAATTTTT